GCAACTCCGGCACGGTGGTTCTACAACTCCGGCAGTGGCAGCGAATTTTCCGGCGACACCCGTGGTGGCTCTGGTGACCGCGAAACTTCGATTTCCAAGGTTTTCGTACCTTGCGGACGTGATGGCGGTGTCAGTTTTGCGAAAAAATGACCGCAAAGTGGAGTTTCTGGAAGAACAACTCTCTTGCTTACCAAAAACACTCAACTTTTCGTTGATTTTCTCACTCAAACTCAACTCCGAGATCTAGGAACCTTGCTCTGATGCCAAACTGGCTCAGGAACAAAAGAGAGGGACTCTCTAACTCAAAACACTCAATTTCTTATAACTTCAAGATGCATAAATGGTTACAAGCAAGGCTATTTATAGCCATCATACATCCTTCAGAAATGAATACAAGCTGTAAAAGAATGGGAATACAGGCTGGACGGTAATGGGAACAGGCTGGAATGATAATGGGAACAGGCTGGAATGGTAGGTGGTGGTTGGCTTTGCACATGAAATGGTCGGTGTTTGTGGGCTGTTCACATGCATGGCTTTTTAGAGGGAGACTCTGGGTCAAAAATGGCACAGAATGCAAAGGAAGAACTCTCTAAGAGAGAAAATACTCAATTGAGTAATAGAAGTGATATTGATTGATCAGTGCCTTGAGAGCTCCGCTAGTCCACCCGTTCCTCCACCATAGTATGATATTGTCCGCTTTGGGCCCAAGCCCGCACGGTTTTTGTTTTTTGGGCTCCTTCCCAAAAGGCCTCCATCTGCATGCGCCAGAATCCAAAGTCGGAACCATTGAATCGTTCGACTGGAATTTTGCCCTCCATCTTGATACTATGATCTGGCTCTGATACCAGTTGTTATGAAATGGATCAAGTCAAGATGGCCAACAACAACACAATAACGAATGTGAAAGCGATAAGCGATAAAAGACACGAATTTGTTAACCCAGTTCGGATAAAAAATCCTATGTCTGGGGGCGATACCAAGCCAGGAGAAATCACTCAAAAGAGGAGGATAAACCGAGGAGTACAACTCACACACACTTGTATGAAACACTCACTCTCTCAACTCAACTCCTTTCTTATTTCTCACTTGGAATTTCTGCACACAAAATGAGGTTTGCCTACAATGGTATATATAGCCAAGCCAATGTCCCAAACTTGTTCAACCCCATTGGGATTGCTTTGAGTCTACACTAGGTTTTGGCATCTCCAAACTTGCAAGACTCCCTTGCATGGAGTACACTCCTCAATTTGTTATTGCTTTCTTCCTAAGTCTTCTATTATGCAATCTTCACACCTTAACAATGCGAATCCCTTAACTACATTTTCCGCGTTTAAGTTCTTCCATTATTAGATGTGCCACTGATTTGTATCCCATTTCCCGAGCTTTCAGTTGATCAGAACAAGCAAAAATGAAAAAAAAAAAACGCATCAGACTCGATACAAAGTTATTAGCATTGAAGAAATAACTAATAAGTGGCAGTAGAAAGACTAACCTTTGTATACTGCTATTCCAGTTGGAGGCATTTTTCGTTTCCTCAGGCATATTGAACTACATATAAATTAAGGCAAAAAGGTGACAGCATCTTGAATCAGATCAAATGAAATTCTCTACATATTTAATATCTATTTCTGTTGCATATAGTTTAATCATGTATCTTAAGGAATTGTGCACACTATTATTATGCATGCATATTTACAGTGTCCAAACCCAAATACTTGCATAAGAGATAAAGTTTAATGGCTCTACCCGTTACATATCCAGTGAGGATTTATTCCTTGGGCTTCTATGCAATGTGGGCACATCCATCCCTTGTTCTCTCTCACTTCCTCTATTTCTAAAACACAAAAAATAGTGAACAGTTCTAGAGCATAAGATAGTTTAACTCTGCTGCCTTTAACGAGAATGAAAAAATAAGCAGTTACTTTATAACATCTGACCTCAAGATGCAGGTATGGGGGGTGGGACAATTAAGATTATTTAACTTAAAAATACATCAAACAAATGTGACCCTGTTGTAATGTAATTTTAATCTGTTTTTTGCCTTTATAGCCCACTCATCTTTGTCTACACTATTTTTCTTACCTTCACCATATCGAATCTTGAGACAGGCTCTGCAGAAAACACCCGTGCTAGAGTGACAAACAGAACAATCAGTCTTTCCTGTTAGGAAAACATTGTGAAAATGTTATAACATCGTGGAACTAGTGCAGAAAAGAACACAAAATAAGACCATTTTAAATCTGACCAAGGCATGGCTCATTCACATCACAATTGCCACATCTTTTGCAGTCTTCTTCGCCACACAATTTCTTTTGCCTGCATCCGTGTTTTACATTGCAATGTCATCATTACAATAATAGACTTACTTATATATATGGCTCGACATTAATACTTTTGATGAGTTATTTTGTCCGTATTTATCTAAGTAGATATTTATATCAAGAGAGAAAGTTATAACTCTCTTATTTTTATAGGATGATTTCACACACCTTTCATCTATGTATATGTATGTTTTATAAAATGTTATTTTTCTTCTTATTTTATCAAAACTTTGTTTATATCCCAACAATTTAAAAAATTTCTCAATATTGACCAGATTGGACATGCCATATGTGTGAAATTTTGGGCAAAGAGCAAACACAGTATCATCATTTTAATATTAGCTTCTAACGTAAACCCTAAACCAGAAACCAAGTAAAGAACTTGTAAGAGAAAATGAACCTGCAAAAATGGCAGCATATCCCCAAAACTGGGTTGTAGACACTACCTCTGCCCTTGCTGTGGCAGCGCCGAGCAGAAATCTCAGCCGAAATCTGAAGATCGAAACCTCTCAGGTTTATGAGAGGAGCATTGGCAGGCCTCTGCTTCTCTTCCTGCTCTTCACACAAAGTTACCTTCTCTGATACAAAAAATGCAGTAAATCATATAGGTTTGTATTGAGCTAAGTTGATGAGTTGGAGGAAAAAAAAACCTTTTTTAATTTTGGGGGTGAAAAGGGATGCGGAAGGAGACGGCGGCGTAAGGTGGTTGTTGAGCCGCTGGGAGCGGCGCAAGGGGGTGAGGCCGTAGAGTTTTTTGCGATAAGGACGTTGTTTGGGTTTGGCGTTTTGTCGAAGCTGAGAAATGGTATTGGCAACACCCAGAGACTCCAAGCGAGCCTGCAAATGCAAATGCAAATGCATAACAAGATGATTCAATTTCACATTCAAGATGTTACTACTCTATTGTACCTGATTCTCTAACATGCGAGCCTTTCTCAGAGCTTCGTACTCGCATTTTCCTTTCTCTTCAACCCTTCCCATTCCCTTCTTCTTTGATTTCAACTTCAACCCTAAATCCAACATTACAATACACTTTCCACTTTCCACTTTCCACTTTCCACCAACATAACGGTCCAATTTCTCTCCACATTTAGTTTTTAACTAATTGTTACAAACATACTTCTCTAATTTGTGCAATATTCACAAATATATGTTCTTACTATAAAACATATATTATTTTAATGATTTTGAGATATTATTATGGTTGAATGTTAAATATTTATGAATTGACATAATTATTTATTATTCTAAATTCGGTGATAAAATTATGTTATCAATATTTTTACAATTTTGTATTTTCTTTGATTCAACTAAAAGGTTAAATCATATGAATTAATCTAATCACTTTTTTTAGTATAAATTAAAACATTTATTATTTAAATTAAAGGCATAATCATAAGCATCATTATGTTATGATAATACATTTAGAGTTAATTACCTATACACTATCAGTGTAAAGTTTTTTTACACTGACAACCAATTAGATCTTTTAATTGTGTCATGACACAATTAAAAGATCTAATTAGTTGTCTGTATAAATTTTTTTTACACCGACAGTGTATAAGTGATTAACTCGTACATTTAAGTCAACTAATTATTTTTTTATATTCCATTATTCAATTGTGGTAAAAATGTTTTTACAAGGTTTGAAGTTACATAACATAATGTGGGATCAGCCACCTAATCTGCCACCAAAGACTTTTTTGTCTTTAGATTAATTTGTTGTTTGTCCTGAGAGAGATATAGTGTGTTGTATACAACGTTCATTTCAAAGCAAAGAAACTGAAAAATAAGTTAAAAAGATATAAGGTGTGTTTGATTACTCATTCACACACATTCCAATACTCTCAAACAAAAAAGTATGAGTGTGAATAGATTAAGTTCAACGTACGTTTAGCTATTCTAAATGATAAAATAAACATGCACATAATGTGTTTATATATAGCATGTATTTTAAAGCAACGAAATGAAAAAATATAAGTTAGGATGAGTTAAAATGAATCTACGTTTGACACGAAAAACAAATACTAAAATATCATTACAATTTTGTCCCTAAAATACCAAGTATAAATAGCAAGTTGAACAACTTATCTGCTGTTTGGGACCAAATAAATTGTTTGTCTCTAGAATACGAAATATAAGTAGCAAGTTCAACAACTTATTTGGTCTCAAACAACAACTTACTGCAGAATTTTGTCCTCCCACTAATATCCCGTCAACTCTTGCTATTTGAGACTTAAACTTACTTGAGTTTTGTAGCCCAATATGTGGATAATGTTTCTCTTTAATCCTTGCTACAATAGCAATTTAGTAGTTAGTAGATATAAAAATAATGGTAAAATATTACATTTGTCACATGTATAGATTTTTTGACAACTCTCTTACATGGATGGTGGTACTTAATTGGATGTACAGTGTTATTCACTTCTGCTTCGGTATATAATATTGTATTTATGATAAAGAAAAAATTTAGCTATACTTTCTTAGAATTTTAGGTGCTGTTAGTTTTCTTTTATAATTAAAATTTTATTTCAATATATACCTATATATATATATATATATCAATAAGATCTGAATTAAATATAAGTACATATTATTAATATAAAATTATATTTTTAATTAAAGAGTAACATTAATTATAGTTAAAAAATTATATACAAATTTTGTCTTTATTTAAACTATTTGGTTTTTTTCATATTTGAAGTGAGGAATTGCATAAATCGTAAGGTTATTGGATGTCCAACAAATTTTTTTTGAAAAAAAATAAATTAAATAAATTTTTTAATATTAATTAAATTGATATATCGTAAAAAATTAATTAAATAAATAAATTTAAATATAATTTCTCTTGATTTATTTTTTAATCTATTTAAATATTTTAAATATATTACATTGTGTAAAAATCACATTCAATATATTCTAATATAATTTCTCTTGGATTTTTTAAGAATTTTAAAAAATGAATAAAAAAATCTATATATTATAACACGAAAACATCTTTAAAATAATCAAAATAATACATATATATTAATTGTTAACTAAATAAAAAAATAATAATATATAAATTAATTGATTTAATTTGTATTGATTGAGATTTTAAATATATAAATTTAATACTCAAAACAAACAATATTAGATTTAATTAGTTTGGTTTTAATTAAATCTATAAAAAAAAATTCAAACTAATTTTAATTAATTTGATTCAAATTATCATATTCATCGGTTCAACAAGTATATTTATACTACTTAAAAAGTTATGGAATAGTTAAAAGTAATTGTGTATCATAACATAAATTTTTTTTAGTGCAAATTTAAAAATAAGATTTATATTTTAAAATACTTATTCATTATAAATTTTAATTATAATATAATTTATATATTTAATAATAGTTATTTATTATACAAATAAATATTTGTCGTATGCAACATGCAGTTGAGATTGTTTATAATTAATTTTAATCGTCATTTAATTTACATGTTCATGTTGTAAAATATTTACTTAAAAGTTGCACGAGTTAAAATTGTAGTTGGGTTTATATTTGTGTTGGAGTATTATTATAAGCTTTTGCACCGTCACACCAATGTTCTATGCTTTCTCTTCTCAAATTGGTGCCATCGTGCAATTTCAAGCCCATTTCCATGGTTTTACCATTGCAACGGTGGATTTACCGTTATTTTTCATCAGCCACAAGTTCTTTTCAACATATATCACATGTACGTGAGAACAAGAACGTCGCTGTCGATTTCAATGTTGTATTCCATTCCTGCACCAACGTTAATGTTGCCAAGCAGCTTCATGCACTTCTTTTGGTGTTGGGTAAAGCTCAAGATGTTGTTTTGTTTACCAAGCTTGTTACTTTGTATGCGACTCTTGGGGACCTCTCATTGTCTAGCACCACATTTAAGCACATTCAGAGAAAGAACATTTATACGTGGAACTCAATGTTGGCTGCATATGTTCGCTGTGGGAGATACCATGATTCTTTGAATTGTGTCACTCACTTGTTGTCCATGCCTGCTGTAGTAAGACCTGACTTTTACACTTTCCCTCCTGTGTTGAAAGCCTGTGTGCATCTCCTTGATGGGGAGAAGATACATTGCTGGGTTTTGAAGATGGGTTTTGAGCATGATGTGTATGTTGCTGCTTCCTTGATCAATTTGTATTCGCGGTTTGGTGCTGTGGCTGTTGCCCACAAGTTGTTTGTTGATATGCCGGTTCGGGATGTGGGGTCTTGGAATGCCATGATTTCGGGGTTTTGTCAGAATGGAAATGCGGTGGAGGCGTTGGGAGTTTTGAACAGGATGAAGGTTGAGGGCATCAAGATGGATACGGTCACGGTGTCAAGTGTGCTTCCAGTTTGTGCACAATTGAATGATGTTGTTTGTGGGGGGTTGATTCATTTATATGTGATAAAGCATGGGTTGGAAAGTGATGTTTTTGTTTGCAATGCACTGATCAATATGTATTCAAAGTTTGGGAGGTTACAAGATGCGCAGAGGGTTTTTGATGGCATGAAAGTGAGGGATGTGGTGTCTTGGAATTCTGTAATTGCTGCATATGAGCAGAACAATGAACCAGTTACTTCTCTTGGATTCTTTAAAAGGATGCAGTTGGTGGGAATGCGACCTGACTTGTTGACAGTTGTTAGTTTAGCCTCGATTTTTGGTCAGTTAAGTGATTGGAGGATTGGCAGGGCTGTTCATGGATTTGTTATAAGACGTGAATGGCTTGAGGAAGATGTTGTGATTGGTAATGCACTTGTGAATATGTATGCCAAATTGGGTTCTATAGATTGTGCACGTATGGTTTTTGAACAGCTTCCTGTCAGAGATGCAATTTCATGGAATACCTTGATCACAGGTTATGCTCAAAATGGGCTAGCAAGTGAAGCAATAGATGCTTACAACATGATGGGAGAGTGTAGAAATATAATCCCAAATCAAGGGACATGGGTGAGCATTCTCCCAGCATATTCCCATGTTGGAGCTTTGCAACAAGGAATGAAAATTCATGGGAGGCTAATCAAGAACTGCCTCTACTTGGATGTCTTTCTGGCTACCTGCCTGATTGACATGTATGGAAAATGTGGAAGGTTAGAGGATGCGATGTCCTTATTCTATGAAATTCCACGGGAAACATCAGTTCCTTGGAATGCCATAATATCTTCTCTTGGAATTCACGGGCATGGAGAAGAAGCTCTGCAACTTTTCAAGAATATGCTCTCTGAAGGGGTAAAGGCAGACCATATTACCTTTGTATCATTGTTGTCAGCTTGTAGCCATTCAGGTTTAGTTGATGAGGGTCAGTGGTGCTTTGATATGATGCAGAAAGAGTATGGGATCAAGCCTAATTTGAAACATTATGGTTGCATGGTGGATTTATTTGGCAGAGCTGGGAATTTGGAGAAGGCATATAATTTAGTAAGCAATATGCCTGTACAGGCAGATGCATCCATCTGGGGTACTCTTCTTGCTGCTTGTAGAATACATGGAAATGCAGAATTGGGTACTTTTGCTTCAGATCGCTTGTTGGAAGTTGATTCAGATAATGTTGGCTATTATGTTTTAATGTCAAATATCTATGCAAATGTTGGAAAATGGGAAGGAGTAGTTAAAGTAAGATCATTGGTCAGAGATAGAGGGTTGAGGAAGACTCCTGGATGGAGCTCTGTTGTAGTTGGTAATGTAGTTGAAGTCTTTTATGCTGGGAACCAAACCCATCCACAATGCACAGAGATATACAAGGAACTAAGGGTTTTGAATGCAAAAATGAAGAGCCTTGGTTATGTTCCAGACTATAGTTTTGTCTTGCAAGATGTTGAGGATGATGAGAAAGAACAAATTTTGACAAGTCATAGTGAGAGACTGGCCATTGCATTTGGAATAATCAGCACCCCACCAAAAAGTCCCATTAGGATATTTAAAAACTTGCGTGTTTGTGGTGATTGCCATAATGCAACCAAGTACATATCTCAAATTACTGAGAGGGACATTATTGTAAGGGATTCAAATCGTTTTCATCACTTTAAAGATGGGATTTGTTCATGTGGTGATTACTGGTGACAGTCACCAATTATGGAAGCTTGAAAAGATTGACCATAGTATAGTATCTGAGTACCTTAATGACATAGACATCCCCAAGCAGGCATTGGTTTGTCACTGCAGCACAACTGCCAACTTACTCAGGAAGTTTCTTTGCGTTACTGAAATGAAACAAATTAACATGATCTCAAGGAAAGAGTTGCGTGCTAGTTGCCAGAGATGATTTTACACTCGCTGCTATTGACCAGCTGCTTGTTTTGGGTAAACAAGGACTGTAATTTTTATTTGTTTGAAGTTATACATCATGTGATTGACCAGCCCACGGACTTTTCTTTGTTACTAGTATAAAACAGATAATTAAATTTATGTGCTAATGGATTTATGCTTATCTTGATAGGCAGATTTTGCATCTTGCTTCATTTTCTCCTCAGGCATTTTCGGTGTATTTAATTATCTTAATAAGGTCTTAACATATAGAGGAAGCAAGACAAATGTTGTGAGCATTCTTATTTTTCAATCAAGTGAATTCAGATATTGGACATCAACATCTAATTAGCATTATTTGACTTATTTCTTGCCTTCTCTTTTATGTTTTTTATTTTTTTATTTTTATTTTTTTCTAGTCAGTGGTCAGTGGTCATATGTTTATAAACTAGTTATAGCTTGTATCAGGTGGATGTGCCAGTCCATTCAGCATATACCAGTGTTAAATCTTCAGACATTGCCAAACACGGATTAAAAGTTACAAAAAAGAAGAAATTTGATGTGATTATTGTTGACACTGCTGGTAGGCTGCAGGTAATTATTTTAGGATTGCAAGTCTTGTAGTAGCATATAATTATTTCATTTTTATTCTTCTGATTACTATTGGTTTCATTTTTATTCTTCTGATCAGGTTGTTTCAAATGAAACAGGCATGAAGCAATGATTGATGGGTTAAAAGAAGTGAAGCTGGACTGAAACAGGAGTTTTGCTAGTTTTGGATGCAGGGAATTGTGGAACAGCAGCTATTTAGAAGGGAATTATACTCATATGCAAATAAATTATTATTTATATAAAAATAAAATAAAATAAATTACTTTTATTTACGAACTTATGAACTTTTTTTTCCTTTTAGCTTTGGTATCTTTGGTATGATTTTGTGCCCGACAGCATATTATACAGTGATAATTATAACCAATCAAAAATTCTGACCTTACTATTTTCTGTGAACAGCCTTGGTGACTCAAACTTCAGATTGGAATAAGAGGTTTAGCAGCTTTGAGTCTCTAAGTGCTTTGCATTGTTTTGGGCTATTGATGACGTTTTCTCTGGATTTCTTTCCACCGGTGTTTATAGAAGCAATTACTGATGCAGGGGATCCTAAAGAGGAGAAGAGGTCATATGTAATGCAGTTCTTAAGCACGAAATTTATTTGCTAAATAGTTAGTTATGCCTCATTATCATAGCTTCCGCTTAAAAAGGTTTCCATGATCACGAGGACTTCAAATTTTCCTATAGAGTATTCCTATATGTTCTGGATCAAAAAATGTTTTCTTGTTCCTATGGAGATAAATTTGTTTCTTCACGTTTGTCATTGTATTTGTTTTATCCATTTAATCTACCAGAGGCCACATGTTATTAGTTTCCACTTTCCATATGAATGAACCGTAATCACTAAAATCTGTTTGTTTTAAAGTTGGGTGAAATTGACTTGGATAGATATAGTTTTGAACTATTAAATATATTTGGATGTATATCCAAATTAATCTTAGACATAACTTTTACAATAGAATGTGTCATGGTATGAGGAATTGATTCTAACTATTTTAACAGGTATTAACCAGTTGGCTGTGGTGATCAGTTTTAAAGTCACACCTAGTTGTTTTAAGGAAACAGATTTGATGACTTTGGAAAATCACCATAACTTTCTCATTTTTAATTATTAAACCAATGTTTCTCTTTCAATCCGGTTCCTAATATATAATGGAAACTGGTTCCCAAAGTATGTTTATTAAGTGATATACTGTACCTTGTTATCTGCACACCCTATTTTCAACTAAATTAATAACATTAGGACATTCCCGTCGCCCCCAAAATGCACTTTATTCCTGTTGAAAATGCTAAAATTATGTTCGAAACCTGAAGAAATATAAGTGTAAGGGGATGACTTATCTTGGCCAATATTGGTGCCTTGACGACTTTTAGCTGTTGTTTTGAAGTGTCATTTGATAGGGTGATTTGTTATTTTAGAAAATGCGCTAATCATAAGCTATTACACAGCAAATCAACCAGAATGAATGGGAACAGTTAACTCGTCTGTGAGGTTTGAAAGAAAGAGTATTTTTGGTGCTGCTGAGCTGAAGATATTTGAGCTAACTCGTCTGTTTGATTGGAAATTCAATTTTTTTTTTTTAATTTCCTTACTTGAGGAATTGGTTGATTGATTCTGCTAATGAAAGAAACTTCAACAATATTTTATCATTGATACAAATATGCTGTTGATTGGATATAGAAATCTGCTTGTCATCTTGCGTATTCAAATTGAAATTGTATTCAGAAGTACATCATGTAAGTTGTTCCTTGTGAATTATACACATAACAAGCTTTTTTCAAAAGTTATACCTTATCAATAGTGCACATTCTTTCTCTTCATTTAATCTTTGATATATTATCCTCTACCTTTCGTTTTTCATTTTCTCTGGTGTATGACTGTTGAGGACCTGAGAAACTAGGTAAGCTGTGATTCCGACAATAAGAGGCAATATGATCTTTATATTCCATGATCTATCTGCTTCATTTGCCTATTTCTTGCCTTGCCAATGCTAATAAGTTATACCTCAAATATTTCTACATAATCATGTGTTTGAAGATTGAACTCGAGGTTTACATCTAGTTACTCAACATGCTTAATTAATCTGTGTAGCAAATGGGATTGTTGTGACTCGTGAGGATGGTTTACTGTATTTAGAAATTGATTGAGGATTGTGCAAAGCATTTTCTGGGTAGGAAATCTATTGTAATTGTGTTTATTTTGCCTATAAATGTGATGAAAAGTTTGAAATAGAATTCATACGAATCCACATGTTAGAGAGCCCTTTAGCCATAATTATTATATATAAAAAAATAAAAAATAAAAAAAAGAAGAAGCAATTAGCATTTTTATTTTCTAAAATAATAAATAAACAAAATATCTTTTAATGTAATTGGTATTTTAAAAGCAAAAGTAGTAAGGTGTGCTTGAAGAGTCTGATTTAATACACCATTTTATATCAATTAAAAATCATTTTAGATGTAACTTTTGAAACAATAATTACAAAACTTCGAAGATTTTCACATATATGGCAATACATAATTGAAAGACAGTGTAAAATAAATTATATTATCAGCGTATTGAAAATAATTCTTGTTTGAAAGTGAGATTAGATTTATAGTTTAGAAGTATATATTTATTTATTTAATTGGTTTAGAGTAGTATATTTTATATTCAAGAATTGTATTTCAAATTTGAATTCTAACTTCAAATTTCTTATAAAAAGGTGACAAGAAGGTGATGATAATCAAGGAGAATCAAATGTAAAGTTAATGGTATGAATGACAACATTATAATGATAATGAGTAGATGAGGTGGTAATAAAAGCAAAGTAAAATCATAAAAAGTTGTATATAATAGATTTGGGTGAAGAATCAATTATTTTTAGAACGCTAATTAGATTTTTGAAATGCACGAAGTTAATTATAATAATTTTATGAAATAATTATGAAATTATGATTTTAGTTCTAAAAAAATTCAAATTTAAAATATCAAATCTAATTATAAACTTGTATTCTTTTTAATTTGTGTGGGATGGATGATATATCTTAATGAACATTCTCAAAACATTGAAATTACTAAAATAGGCTTCCATCAAGAGTTAATGTTTAAAAAAATTAAACTATTTATTAATTGTTCAAAATTTTATTGAAACTCCATATATTGCATAATGAAGAGTTGTTATAACTTAATAAGTGATCTCGAGTTTAAATTTTATATATGTAATTATATTAAATTCTCAAATAAAAATTTTGTCTTTTACAATGATCTTATCAAATTTGAATAGAATTTGTTTTGATAGAGGATGATTATAGTATATTCCAAACCCATTAATATTCTAGCAAAATAGTATCCATTTTTTCTTGGTCTAATCTCATACACAATTATACGCCTCAAACAGCAGTTGACTCCGTCTTTACTCTCACCTTACACGTTACTCAATTAAATTTCTAAAAGCTCATACTCATAAAAATTCATTGACCAACTTGCATATCGTATCAAAACAAACCAAGTATGCATGGTGTTATTCTAGAGGCAGATCCATGGACGGTTCTAGCCATGATATTATTATTCATGTGTAGTGGAAATCTCACATCTTAGCATGATGGATGTTTTGTTTTCCACATAATTGGAAAGGTACTTGCTATGCATGATTGATAATGTGAAATGGTGAGATAGCAACATCATTGGCTTGAAACCAGAATGAGAGTGGGAGATAAATAAACACATTACACTTCTCCATCCACCCTTTTGGTTAACCAATCAGAATCATCTAATAATGTTACCTTATCATCTCATTGTTGACCTGGTAGTCTGCCTTTGTCTTTTGTTCTCCTACGTGTTTTCTCCTTATAATCCATACTACCTTGTTAAATACTCACTTGAAAGAGTTTTGCTTTTCATAATAATTTTACTATGCTAAAATACAATTGTTTCTCATCAAAGTTGTAGTCTTAACAGAAAATAATGCGATAGAATCAAAGAATAAACTGAACATGTAGACAAGCAAAATAAATAAAAGTGTTTGTTTTAAGTTAACTAACCATATTTTGAGGAATACATGGATAAATTGTTTTTTCATGATTGTTACAAGATTAAAAATTTATTTTGCAATATGGAACCTTTTCAGAAAAAATAAATAAATAAATCATATTCTCATTCTTTTATTTCGGAAAAAAAAAAAAAGAGATGGATATTGATTTCCATTACATGAGAATTAAAATTTTCATTTTGGTTTTCTTTAACTTCTTTTCCATCTCACTTTCTTAAAAGCATTTTTAACATTAACCAAACTTATTCTTTTAAAATACACAATTTCATTCTATACCAATATATGACTTTAATTAAAGATTTTTATAAAAATAATTAATGCAAAAGACATTTTAGATTTATTTTATAATAAAGACCGATCAGCACTTTTAATCAAGTCTTTTTATAATAAAGATTTATTTTATGGTTGAAGCCCTTGCCATTTTTTCACTTTGAAAGAGTGGAGCACCTTATTATGCTTATGAAACCATCATCAATGTCTGGGACCTCCTACTTTATAAAGCTCAGTTCCATTTTCAGATTGAATTATTGAAAGAAACCAAAATCTCTCAAATGAATTGTTGATGCACTAAGAATCATTAAAAATATGGTTGAGCCGGCCTGATGTTACATTTCAATTACGAAAGCTATTGTCTTGTCTCTATAATATGCTTTCGTAGTTCTTAACAAGTCAAATATAGTAGAGAAATTTTGAGACACTTGTTGGCCCAATAATAGTATTTCAAGTACAATTTTATGGTCTGATGGGTTTCGGTGGTTGTATGATCCATGGATTGTTTTAATTTCGACAAGTGATAGTCATAGAAGATACCAAGTGTAAACTTCAGCCACAAAATGGAACAATAATGCATTATTTTTATTTTTATTTTTGGAAGTACAAGAGCAAGAAAAATGTATTCTACACTTAGCCTACATACACTACATTACCAAAGAATTAAATGAATGAAAGAATGAGAGCTGAATTTGTACATCTACATCTAATTTCTATAGCTAGATCTCAACTACACCCCCTATAAATCCGCAATCTGCTGCTGAACTTTCGGACTATAGCCAATTTCAAGAGAAACAAACACAAAGGGGCAAATTGTGACACACCTTGAACTTCAATTTCCCTCTTCATGACCTTGATCATATAATCTTAACTTCCTTGTCCTAACAGCTAGTGAGTGCTTCTGTTCTCTACCACTTTGTGGATTCCAAAAGCAAGAGACTGTCTACAATTTACAACCTACACATATCCCCATCCCTTTTTGAGTGCACTTGAGTTTGTCTTTTAACCAGTTCATCCAAAGCTTCATTCATCCAAACGTAAGGGCATATTTCTTTTACTTCAGCCACAGTCATCTGCATGATGCACATCAATGAAACATTAGGACACTAGCAAAATAAACATTACACAATTAAGATATTGCAATTGGGAAAGTGAACCACCAGATTAGGTCTAGAGGTGGAGATTGAGATAACATGCACAAAATAAGAATCCTAGGTTCAAATTCTGTTGCTGGTTAAATAAAAATTGGGAAAGTGAATAAAAGGCTTAAACACTTACCCATCTTCTTTTTCTTGTGTTCATCTCAGGCCAATTATCCAACTCCTTCTTGACAAGTAAAGGGAACATGTATCCCTCATGCATTATGGGTTGGCGTTTGCTCTTGTAACACCATTTGCCCAATTTACTCTGCAAGAAAACAAAGAGAGCACACAAGGTTAGAATCAAAGGTTGCACAATTATTGGGGGTGGAAAATAATTTGATACGAAAAGTGCTTGCACACACACTTACTTCAACACTGCCAACAACCCCAGCTTCTTCTATGGTCTCCCTTAAAGCGGCTTGTTCCATGGATTCATCAGTTTCCCAACCGCCCTGAAGGCCAAACATGAAACAACACACAAACATCAGCAACATGACCATTGAAATGAATCAAAAGTGGGTACAAAACCACACAAGATGTGGAGAGGCAAACAAAAATACCTTTGGGAACTGCATTCCATGACCTTTCTGAGCACTAATCACAAGAACCTCTAGTTCCTTATCCCGTGTTCCGTTGTTCTTGTATCTATAAGGAATGCATCTGTTCATTTCCAAAAACACCCCACAAAACAAGTCAGATTAACAACTCAATTTCCACACACAAAAGACAAATTTAACTTAAAACCCACAACAAAAAAAAATTTTAAAAATCATTTTTTCCCACCGGCCAACCAATAATCAAATCAAAGGACACGTTTTTAGCCCCATTTTTTAAAAATAAAATAATGAAACCACCCCCAATTGAGAAAGCCTTGTAAATTTCAAAACTTGTGTCCAACATCTTCAAGTCAAGGGATTAATGATTTGCATGTCCACTTCTTTTTCTTTAAAATTAGTTTGTGTTTAGTAAACTACAATAGATTTTGAATCAGAAAGTGAGAAACCATGTTATGTTAGAGAACATTGAGCGGAGAACCAAGAAAGCCCCTAAAAATCGAAACTTTATGCAGAAGAAGAAACAGAGAGAAATGATGGGTAGGAAGAGAAACACACCCCACAACTTGGCGACAGCCCTTGTCATAGCGCTGCAAATGTCTGCCAGTACGAGGGGAGACCAAAGACATCATGTTCCCCAACTGCTTGGGAAACAAATCCTTAGAAACCCTCTTGGAGAAGAGAAAAGGGTATATGAATTTGCAAGCCAAATTCCTAGAAAGGAAGAGACCCATAACTCCAATCTTGTTCTTGGTGTTGGTTTTGGAAGGAATAATGATATTTAAGGGAATGAGAGAAGAAGATGAGAAGAAAGGAGAAACAGACATGAATTATGGTATGGGACAACCGAAGTGTGTATATATATATATATATATATAAGTACCTGTTTGTTTCGTGTGTGTGCGCGTGTATAGATAATAACTGCAGCGTTCAAAAAAGACACAGCGCATCGACCGGTGCGTTTACTCACGCGCTTTTTTAAAACGTTTTTTTGGGGGCTATTTCTTTTCTTTTACTCGGTAGAAAATTCAAAAACGTACGTTTCCGATTTTCTAACTTTTTTTGTATTTCTCTCGTCTACACCGTGTTTTTTACTTTTTGAGTCTTTCCAAGTATTTCCAATTTAGCTTTTGTTGCTTTTCGTCTTTCTAACTTTTTTACCTTATGTCTCTCAACAAATGTTTATATTATTATCATATATAATATATAATATATAATTCCAAAAGTGATTTAAATAATATTTAAAATAGTTATAAGATTATTATTCTTTTGTAACTATATTATAAATGTGAATTCTTCGTGCATGGCAAATTTTTATCGTGAATTTAATTCATCACTTTGAGTATTTTTTGTAATTTTATTTGGTTTATAATTTGTTTGGAATAAGAGATATCATGTTGTAATTTGTAAATTTAATTCAAAACTTGTCTTTCATCTCATAATAAATTATTTTAACTCATCTCTATTAGCATGTGATCTCTTTGATTTAGATTTTATGATCACCTTTATTTATGTTTATAGAAAAATTAATGTTTGTGTTAACTAGCTAGCAAAGTTTGATGTAACTTCTAGTTATTCGATTGTTATTCACAATTAATGAATTATTGTTCTTTAGTCTTTATTTACGGTGATGCATGTAATTTCACCTTTACTAAAATTATTTAATTTTATTTATTATTTTATATTTTATTTTTCATTGATAAAAAAACAATTTAAAAAACTTTAATTTAGTTTCACTCAAATTTACAATTTTTTACTATCTAACACTTTTAGAAGTAAAATAAGAAGAAAAAAAAACTTATTAGAAACTAAAGTTGAATTTATGAAAGTTTAGAGAGATTATAAAAAAAATAATTTCATTTTATATTTCTCTATCCTCCAAAATTTTCCGTACATGTTAAGTAATTTTACGGTAATTCAAGCTGTGTTTGAATTTTTTAGAAGTCTTGCAAATTATGAAATTAGTGTTACTAAGTTTTACTTGACGGTTGACCCAATTAATGTTGAATTTGGGTAAGAATTGTTATCATCGATGTGAGATTTCTAACACATCCCTCAAACCTTGGACTAAACATCTCTTTTAGATTAAAGGAAGATCTTAGATGTCCCAGAAATATGAGTTTTAATGTTAGTAAACTTGAACATGTTAAATAAAGAAATGTTTTAATTACATAAAAAAGGTGATTAGAAAGATGATTGATTATGTTGATGTGCAGTCTTTTAAATAGATCACTTTGTTTGTCTAAGACGAATACATTAATTATATTATTTATTATGTTTGATAACTAAATCATCTATAGATATGTTACTCTTTAACAGATTGCAGGAATAAAAAATTATTTGATACTTGTACTTTAAAAAGGAGCGAATATTTGTTTTTTTGTTAAAGAAAGGACAAACAAATATCTCAAAGTGTGTGAAGTCACAAATAAAGTCATTTTCAATTGACACATACAATAGTTCCTCTGACTTTGTACCTTAAAGGGGATAATTAATCTTCTTGATCAGATAAAATGTAATAATTTGGTGAAACACATTTAATACTCACATTTAATACACTAACAGATACCTTATTCTACAAGAAAGGAAAACGAAGAAAGACGAAACAATCCTATAAAATAAGTTCAAGGATTTACGATGGTCACCTTCACGAAACACCTATATAAAGAAGCTTGAATAGTTAGAAAGAAAAGTAAGAACAACTATTGTAAAAATTCATTTCATTCTTTTTGAAAAGCTCTAAACTCAATTGTTGTTGTATCATGTCTTGTGAGTAAGACAAAATAATTGTTATTACTCAACTTTAACTTTGTGTTAGAATTTTGTTGTAAAAAACACATGGTTGTAAAAGTCTGGAAAAGCTTCGTTGTTGAAATAATACTTGGGTAGTTGCTGAAGAGGCAAATCAAATAATATTTAGGTTGAGCCATAAATGGCTTGTGAAAGAATATCATGTAACTTTGCAAAGATAATGGAACTTGATCAATTTGATCAAGAACTAGATGTAGTCTCGATGGTTGAGACGAAGTAGAATAAAAAGACTTTATGTTCTTTGCTTTTATCTCTTCATCCACACTTTTTAAGGTTTAAGATGTTACTTCGATGTTTCAAAAAGTGTTGAGTAGTTGATTGACATTATTCAACCCCCTTCTAGTATCTTTCTTTTCTCTACAATCTCGAACGTGAATTTGGCATAACTAAATATTTGCGAGTGGTCTAATAACTGTTCGATAACGGGTGATCTAATAACTGCTCGGTAGTGGGTGGCCTGATAATTGCATTAACAATCCTCAAGTGTTGTCTCCTTGTCAAGTGTACACATTCGTACATATAGTTTAATGATGAGTATGAGTATCATCTTGCAAGTATGCAATACTTAGCACAAATCATTAATTATACAAAACTAAACTAATAGGAACGAAAGTTTCGATAGATTGCAAATATATAATTATACAAGAAAATTGTCGTATAGTGACACACACCCTATAGTGACATAATAGGTGTCACTAAAAACTACTTTTACCTATACAATAAATATAATATATGTTGGTATATTGTTAAAGAGTGTAGGTATAAGCTATAGTGACACACAAAATATGTTGTTAAATCTCATTCAAAATCAACACTAAAATTGTATGTAGCTATATGTCAAATAGGTATATACCTACATATATTATACCTATAGTGACACTTTTTGTATGTCATTATATGGAACATTTTTTATAGTTTTACTTGACGGTTGACCCAATTAATGTTGAATTTGGGGATTAAATTTAGTACCGATAAATTTATAATACTTATTCATCTTGTTGGACTAACTAAGTTAAATTCTATTATTTTCATTTGATTTGAAAAAATTTATTTTGTTTTTATTTTTTGAAGTTTATTCAAAAAAAAAAAGTGAAACAAAAATAAAAATCTAATTATGAGTTTACTTTGTATGCATTGTTATTTTACAATATTATTCAGTTAAAAATAATAATAAATATGATTTTAAAGATAATTATTGTAAAAATTATTAAACTTATTTTATCTGATATTTTTTATTCCTTTTAAGTGTCCAATTTTAAAGAATTGTGTTTCTGTTTATTTATCATTCTTATATTTTAAGATTACATTAATGATTCTTTGAGAATTATACCTTTGTGTGAAAATCAAACACATTTGAAAGGAAAATTATTAGCGACAAATATAAGTAAATAGAAAAATAAATAAAAATAAAATTGATTAAATAATATATAAATGAGGAAGACATGTACATCTAACGTTTAGATATTGAATTTAATTAGTCTTTTAAATTTAAGAAAAAAATATTTTTAATTTCTTAAATTTAAAATTAATATTTTTA